TATAAGAAAATAATTTACTGGTTAATCCCATTATTAGTTGATAAGGAATAGCTCTGGAGTTGGCCGTGGTTAGTGTTGACAAGCTTGTTTGTTTGTTTAAAGTTATGCATAATGGGCTGTCTGTGCTCTGCCCACCACGGGTATCGACACCCAGATTCTAGCGTTGTAAGTCCGCAGACATACCCCTGTGCCACTGGGGGGGGGCAGGAAATTGTTTAAAATGATTGAAAAGTAATATAAACTGTACATGTAACTTATTTCTATAATAATAATGATGTATGTAAAAGTGAAAGAAATCTGTATATTATAATTAACCCTAACAAATTATGTTTGAGAACATCGAAAGGTTTTATGTGTGTGTATATAAATATATAATGGTTGAGCCAGTGGTGCAAGTAGAAACTTGGGGCCTAGGGAGGGGGGCTGGCGGGCCATCGGCTGATTACACCCTCTCTTCTGTTGAGAGTTGAACTTAAAGAAAATGTTATAAATGGATGGCATAAACTAAGATTGGTAGTTCTTTTGTTTGTTTGTTTGTAGTTAAGCACGTGTATACAATAAGTTTATTTAAATGAAATAAACACCGTTCGTCAGACCTTTTTTCGGGAATTTTCGGCTTTTAATTTTCCTTAATTTCTTGCACATTTCTCAGAAATTTGCCCAAAAGTTTTATGGAGGTTTAATATCCAATGACAAAGAAACTAAAGCAAATTATTTTTTGAACTTCGACTTAGCAAAACATTAATTATCCCAGGAAAAAAAAATGTTTTGTTAAATTTTTATCACAGTTCACAAGACACAGATCCCCCAATGGGTCAGTGGTAAGTTTACGGATTTACAACGCTAAAATCTGGGGTTCGATCTCCCGTGATGAACAGAATGCAGATAGCCTATTGTGTAGCCTTGTGCTAAAACAAGCGAAACGGAGGGCACGGAAAATGTATCATAGATACTACATTATAGTATCTTTTTTTGCCAAGAAATATTTTATAATAAACATAATGATACTTTTGTTATAAAACAGAGTAATTATAGCATTATATAATGATTTCAGGAATAATTATCAATTGTCTGTATATAGTTAGAAAGGGAATAGAAATAAAATAAAAACCAGCAACATACAATTTACGTTTGTTGGTGAGGTATTGACATCTATTCATGTCCCGAAATTCGACAAGAAACAGAATTGTTACTGTTAATTGTCAAGGCCGTTTGCTACTTTCGTTGCCTTGTAATAGTAACAAAAAATGATATAATTAGGTCAAAAAAAGCTCAATATATGACTATAGCCAACTGGGGATATAGAAATTACTCGGTCAACATCATGACCTATCGCTAATGGCCTCATTTCTGTCTCTCTTTTTTTAATACCGATTGAACATCTAAGTTTACTTGAAGGCATTTTTAAAATTAACTTATGATATACATTCATATTTAAAAGAAAATAACAGTTTACGTATTTTCATTACAATTGAAATAATTCCTTAATTCTTCTACTTATAATTAAAATACGTAACGATATTTTTTCTTCTATTGCGAATTTACTAAGAAAGAGGTATACCAGTTGTAGGTTGCAAGTAACTTTATATGTCTTGCAGAAAGAAAATATTCGTTAATGAAACATGTATAATATGAAATCGGCCAGAATTGCTTCACTTTCTTCCTTGCAGGGACTACTTAGAGCAGTGTGTAGAGTTTTTATAGTCATTTCATTTGAGTCCCAGGGAGGGGGGCTGGCGGGCCATCGGCTGATTACACCCTCTCTTCTGTTGAAAGTTGAACTTAAGGAAAACGTTATAAATGGACGGCATAAGCTAACACTGGTAGTTCTTTTGTTTGTTTGTTTGTAGTTAAGCACAAAACTATACAATAAGCTACCTGTGATCTATCCACCACGGAGAATCGAACCCGGGATTTTAGCGTTGAAAGTCCGTAAAGTTACTGTTGGCCCACTAAAAGATAAACTAGAGATAAAATTTCATTACGGTTCCTATTTCTAAATAAACATTCTTTATTGTCTTTCATTTCTAAACTTATTCATAGACAATGTGCTTTAATCTGCAGCTTGCATTTTGCTTCTTCACTGTTTCATTGTGTAATTAAGATGTTGTTTTAATCATAATTTATTTTTTGCAATAGGTATACCTTAATAAACAGCTGGGCTAATTTTCAATCGATAAAATAAAATAAGAAAGATATTACATCATTTATTTAGAGGTTACTCAAATGAAATGACTATAAAAACTCTACACATTGCTCTAAGTAGTCCCTGCAAGGAAGAAAGTGTTTAATTAACGAATATTTTGTATAGAATATGATATTTAATTTTTTTTATGCAGAGATAGACTAATAAAATGATTAGTAATAGAATTTTTTCAAACGTTTTCCACGAGTGGTCCCTCGGTGGGACAGTGGTAAGTGAAATGAGTTACAATTCTAAAATCCGGGGTTCGATTCCCTGTGGTATACGAGCAGCAGATAGCCCAATGTGGTTTTCCTCTAAAATAAACTGACCAAACTTTGACGAGTGAAGTTTTTATAGAAAGTTTAAAACAATTTTGTTTCTCATCTGTAGAAAAATTTATTCAAGATCTTGAATAGATATGACACATTCTAATATATATAAGCCGGATGGAAAGTACTCATTATTAAGTTTTCTTGATTTTCCTTCACATGAATACTACTTTCCTTTCCTCAAGGTAAACTGCTATGGCCTCCGTATAATTTGTAGGAACTGGTAGATACAACAGAAAATATAAACTAACAATTTTTTTTCTTCATTCAGTAAACGTTTCTGTCTTAGTAAGCTGCAAATGTTATTGTGTATCCAATCATACTGATACTCCTGTCAGCCCCCCTCCCTGGAACTCAAATGAAATGACTATAAAAACTCTACACATTGCTCTAAGTAGTCCCTGCAAGGAAGAAAGTGAAGCAATTCTGGCCTATTTCATATTATACATGTTTCATTAACGAATATTTTCTTTCTGCCAGACATATAAAGTTACTTGCAACCTACAACTGGTATACCTCTTTCTTAGTAAATTCGCAATAGAAGAAAAAATATCGTTACGTATTTTAATTATAAGTAGAAGAATTAAGGAATTCTTTCAATTGTAATGAAAATACGTAAACTGTTATTTTCTTTTATCTGTACTTGAAATGCCAATTACAATTTACTGACTACTGACAAGTACATTTGTATATAATTTGTATAAAACCCAACACAAATTATTTATCCGTCCCTAATTTAGAAATGAGAAGACTAGAGAGAAGACAACTAGTCACTAGCATAAACCACCAACTTTTGGGCTACTTTATATCACCAGATATTGGGATTTGACTGTCACTATTATAGCGCATCCACGGCCCCACAGTGCGGAGTTCTTGAACTTTGAATATCATTAAAGTAATCAACCCATTCTTACACAACTTTGTGATTAAGAAACATATAATAAAATAAAACTATTTGTGTTAAACGTCAACTTCACTAATAGCGTATGAATTTAAATCATCTTTAACAAGTTTCTCGAGTGCTCATCTCAACAATCAAATAATAAAAAAACGAGTGTTACTTAGTCACACAGTTCATAGTGCAATGTGTTAATTGGCTGTACAGATGGGGATATTTTAAAGTATCACCAGCTTGAAGTTATTTGAATCGGAAATAATTCTGTGAGATAGTAAATTAGATGCTTTTTCATTCAAGGACTTTTCTATTTTAAAACATTATTAGTGCAAAAAACAAAATTACTATACATATTTTGCGTTATAAACAAAACATTTGATCCTTTTATAAGATATGATCTACAAGATTTGAATATTCCACACAAATAATTGCACAAACATATAATGAACTATCTTACACATAATTAAACAAACCAGACTCGAGCCCTTCTTTCTTCGTGCTGTTAGAGTTACATAACATCTCATCACGTGACAATTTAAAACTTTCAAAAGTTTTCAGTTCAAGTTTTCACTCAAGATTTTGTTTACGAAGATTCACTTGGGCTATAAGTACGTACGCACATTGTGACAATAGATAGTTTTAAACTGTCGTGTACTTCCATCTTAGTTTTCATTGTAGTTGATCAACTGATTGGTTGTTTTCTTTCAACGTCAGCAATTTTTTTTTAAAGCAACACGAGGACTAGCGAATCATGGCGAAGAGAAACTAAGTTGTTTCTTTTGCTCAATTGGCTGTCTTGTCTGCGAAGAAGTAGGCGAATATATAAACGAACGGCCTGTAAGTTACCCATTTACACCAGAGTTTATCCTTAAAGCTGCCAAACATGAGATCTTGTATCCTGGGATTGTTTCTGTTGTCACCCTTGTTAATCAATGGTAGGTAGTCGTTCAGTATAATGTCTCTTACTAAAATAACAAAAACTCGTGAATCGTTCTTTGTAGGTCGAATTTTACCCATATAATATTAATCATTCTGAACGGTAAGCCTCAGACTGATGTCTTGGGGTGTATATTTTGACTTTTTTTTACATTTTCTAAAATAGTTATTAAAATAAAATAAATGAAATACGTAGACATGTATTACTTCAACCTAATATCATCACCTAATCATGCACATATATATGTATATATATAAATATATGTATCGGCAGAGAAAGTAATCAATTAATGTGTATAATTTTCTTAGAAAAACCTTTTGCGTATAAATTATTTTGGTGTATACATGTATAGAACTTTATTTTTTTTCTTTACTTGAGACTTTTTAACACTTAAGTCAAAAGATATAACTGTTATTGGTTTGATGTTACATGATTACATTTCTGTAGCGATATCAGTTTGGCAATAGAACGGTAATCCTGATAACTCTATTGTGATGTTTTACACTGGACCGAAAGTTCTGCTGAAATAATTTTACTGGATCATCCTGGGTTATCATTTTGCAAATGAAACTGGAGTGTGATTAGCAACTGTTGACAGGATAAAAAATATTCTTCTAAGTTTGTATATTTTTTCGAGAAAATGACGATTTGACTACAAAGTCAAAAGTAAAAACATAACAAAAAAGAAACTTATTGTAAACCAGATGTGGGCAGAAATGATTTTTTAAGTTTTTTAGATAAAATGACGATTTGAGAGCGACGCCACTAAAAAATCAAATCATAATATTTTCAATGTTTTTATCCATTAACGGGAATATCTCTTCGGGGTGACTGAAAGCTAATGACTGATCTCTGACCTATTTTTTTTAACCCCTTCAGTTACTTAAAAATTAAGAATCATTTAGGTTGGTTGATAATGAGGGAGGCCCCAATGACGAACTCGTGATAGTCTCGCGGTCTAGAAGATAAGCTGCAACAAACCTGTAATCTTACCAGGACGAGCAAACTGAAGCCCCCCCCCCCCGGTCACCCACCTATTGCTCTACCAGTTTGGGCGTCCCACTTGTTAGCAGAAACCGGTTTTACTACTAATATAATTCTTGGCCCATTTCTAAGAGTCAGCATGTTGACGTTAGCATGGTTTATCTTTTGGCTGAGTGCATAGGTTCGCGAGACTTATGATATAAGTATCAGTGATACAAAGAATTCACCTACACCCTGCCTTGAAATACCTTTTGAGACCAATGAAGAACTGGTTGAAGATAACTTGACATTCATAAAAGTGAACACCTGATTATTTAGAAAACGGAAAAAATGAGTTAATCAATCACTCAAGTGTACACCCTTCGTAATAAATTAACGATAGTAAACAAATGAAAAAACAAACACCAGAAAATAACCCATTCTGTCAAAAGTAATTTAGACTAGAAAATACATATGTGTCCCACAGTAAACAATCAATAAAATACGTAATTAAAAAATAAAAAAGGTACAAAATCAATTATATTTCTCAACTAAAGAATTTCCATAGCCTCAATTACGCTGTCATATTGTTTCACAACATCTGGAAGCAGTCCACGATTCTTGTCTCAGCCAATGTATCAAATTGGAATAAAAGTAATGATTTGTAAAGTTCAGGTATTTGTTGAAGTAAGCTTATTAAAAATTAAATTAGATATATGTTCGTGTGCTTGTTTTAACTAAATAGCCCATAACAGACAGATATCTCGTTAGTATAATGTCAATACCGTATTTATTCTGTTTCAGAAGCTACAGGCTATCTCATGGAAATACACAATACATCTAATATCGCTTCGATGTATTCACAACCTTAAAATTTATTTATACATTTACTGCATTATTAAATTAAGATTAGATATCATTCCAGTATTGAACACATTTTACTCTGAAATTAATGATTCTAAGAAAATGAATTCGAGGTTTACACTTGCACAAGTCAAACACTTGTGTTAACTTATTTTTGTCTTCTTTTAAAGTGATATTTCAAAACAATGAGCACAAAGTATGTTGTTTCATCATATATTTTGGAGCTGTAATGCTTCCGTTCTTTACTTTCCAGTAACAGCAGTATCGATCGTCAAAAGACAAATAGAGGGTGCTCCACTCCGAATTAGCCAAAATGATGCAGAGGTGTGTAAAGACAAATCTCCAAGAGAATACTTTCGTCTCTCGTCAGATAAAGATTGTCGAGAAGTCATGAGATGTTCTTCACAGGGTTTACAAGTTTTGAGGTGTCCTTCTGGACTTTTTTTTGACATAGAAAGTCAAACATGTAATTGGAGAAGTGAGGTTAATAACTGTGACCAAGTTGAAAAGAGAAAACTAGCCACACCGCTTTTCGCCACCAATGAACCAATATGTAGTGGTAATCAACTAGCATGTGGAAACGGTGATTGTATGGAAAGAGAACTTTTTTGTAATGGTATTCCTGATTGTTCCGATGAATCAGATGAAAATGCTTGTAGTAAGTATTCTTTATTTTTACAGAAATAATTGCATCAGTAAACCTAATATTACTATTTTTCAGAATTATTTAATGAAGACGACAAACAACTACAGACAAAAAATGTTTACTTACTTGTACCCGACGTTTTTTATGTTATTATTATAATTTTCTCTATTTTTATGATCAACGACTCTAAACTGTTGGATTATACTTGTATCATGTATCACGTACATTTTTCAGTTATATTGTTGTAGCTGTATTTCGTTTTCGGGTACTGAAATTTAAAATCAATATGGTAACCAGTGACGTTCATAGACCCTTGATAAAGTAAATCTAATATGTCAATTTTCGCCTTACTTTTATTATATCATCCCTATATATATAATTATTTACAATCGAGAGAGGACAATAATTAATGTTTTAACTCAGTGCTTCGTTGATTTGTATTTTATTAATACAAATATAGTGTTTGGTTAACTGTTTATACTTACTAGCGCTGTTCTTTCAATGATTTAGCTGAACACGATCCAAACAGAGCACCACCTTGTGATCAGAGCCAGTGTATTCTTCCTGACTGCTTTTGCTCTCCTGACGGCACCCAAATTCCCGGAAAATTAGAACCAAATAACATCCCTCAGATGGTAACCATCACTTTTGACGACGCTGTCAATATTAACAACTTGGACGTTTACCATGATATTTTTAAAGAAGGTCGTAACAATGCCAATGGCTGTTCTATTAAAGCCACGTTCTTCGTTTCTCACAAGTATACCAACTACTCTGCTGTACAAGAGTTACACAGGAAAGGTCACGAGATAGCAACTCATTCCATCACGTAAGAAATATTTATTCGCTTTATAATTGATTTCTGATAATATAAGAATATAGAAGAATAGATACATTTGGATACATTTTTATTTCAGAATTTCGTATAAAGTTTTAAAGTGAAGTTGCAATGTTTAATTGGTATGTTGTGTCGGTTTCATTAC